AAATTTTAGACAGAAATCAGGACTGCAGTAGCTGTACAGGAGGAGTTCTATAAAAACATCTGTTGGATGAATGGTCAAATAATTCTGGCCCAATTTCTTTCTCTGTCCATTTATTTATGGCTTCCTCAATTTCTTTGTCTAAGTTTGGATTGTTTTAGCTTTCTATTTCCTGTTTTAGTTTGGGCTTATTGTATTTCTTTAACTATCAATTTTCTTTGAATTCTCAGGTCTTACATAACTTATAATGAGCAAATCTGGCTTCTAAGACTAGTTGAGAAAATGGAACTCCTTTGACTCTTTTCAGAGGTAGGATACAGAATATTACATACACTGTGGACATGGCTGTTGTGTTGGTTTTGCTGAACTGCCTTTTTTCTGCTTCCTTCCTTCCTTCTTTTCTTTCAACACGGGAGATAAAGTTAGCATACTGGATAGACAGCCAACCTTTGAGACAGAGGCCTGAGTTCAAATCCTGACTGACAAATACTGGTGTAACCCTGGGCAAATCACTTAACTTCTCAGTGCTCTAGGACAGGTGTCAAACTCAAGAAGACTCAACTCCAAGAGCAGCAGAACTAGATTTAAAATGTTATTGTTTAACAAAATAAATAAAAATACAACATAGCTAACGTTAATTGTGATATACCACTCAAATATCATTTTCTTAACTAGTTACTGATTTCTAAAATTTACATCTATTCTGAAGCTCTTGCCTTTGACTAGAAATAACAACCTCTACCCCTAAGAATCTTCAGGTTCTTGCCCAAGATTGTCTACCCTATTGTAATCCTTAGCAATGCTTTCTAACTTCCTTCTGAAAGTATTGTTTGTGCCCATGTGCATTATCAAAGCTGAGTAGTAGTTGTTAAGTGTGATATGTCTTGGGGAGATTTTATGCCAAATACTGGATATGCGCATTAGTTACCTCAGTACTCTTCAACAAAGAGTCACTAACTAGCAATACCACTATTTGAATATTCTTTGTCTGATCCTTACTGAATGAACTCTCTTACAGCACCTGTGAATTCCTTGAAAAATAAGCAGCTGCTTCCTCCTCAGAGAGCCCAGCTCCCAATGTTTTGGAACAAAGCGCTCAGCTTCAAGGGTTCAGAGGTCCGCCTGACCCTTCTTGTCTGTGTCACATTCTTTTACCCTCCAATATTCTGACAGAAGTCAGGATTTCTCTCTGTTCTTCACATTATTTTTTCCTTTATTTTTACAATGAAACCTTTCTATTTAAAAAAAAAATTAATCAGCAAAATTCTGCCTTCTCTCCTTCCCCACTTCAACTGAGAAGAAAAGAAAAACAAAATCCCTGTTACAACATGAGTAGTCAAGCAAAACAAATCTCTACACTGGCCATGTCCCAAAGGAAGTACATACAGAAAGAAATAAACACACACATACATATGTGTAAGGAAAAGTATATAAATACACACAAACACATACCCACACACATACATGGAAATATAAACACATACATATCTGTACACTCAAAGTTAAGCAACATAAAAATCATCCTCGTGCCAAATCAGAGAGATCTGGGCTCTCTAAGGAGGAAGTGGCTGCTTGCTCCTCATGGAATGATGGTGTGGATTCAGATTAGTTCATCCACAAAGAATCTCCTAGCTTTCCTTTCCCTCTCCTCTCTACCTCCAATATATTCTTCTCCTTTTTTCTATTTTTCTAAGATCATGAAGGCATAAGAGAACCAACCAGGCCTTCTGTCTAATTAGACTCCTGCTATGATGACTGATAGTATTCAGAGGGGCACATGTATCATCTCCTCACATCAGAAGGTATATAATTTATACCTGTTTAATCCTTTTATGATTATGTTTACATTTTTGGGGTTTCTTTGAACTTTGAGCTTGAATTTCAAAGTTTCATCAGTAATACTCCTCTTTTTTCTTTTTTAAGGCAATTGGGGTTAAGTGACTTGCCAGGGTCACACAGCTAGTGTCAAGTGTTTGGTCAGAGGCCGAATTTGAACTCAAGTCCTCCTGACTTCAGGGCCAGTGCTCTATCCACTACACCATCTAGCTGCCCCAATACTCCTCTATTTCATCAAAGACCCATTTAACCCCTACAGAATTATACTCAGTTTTTCTGGTTAAGTTTTTCTTGGTTGTAAACTCACAGACTCTGCCTTATGGAATATCATATTCCAAGATCTCAGATCCTTCAAAGCGGTGACTGCTATGTCTCATGTGATCCCAACTGTAGCAACTTGGTACCTGAATTTTTTCTTTCCAGCTGCTTGCAGTATTTTTTCTTTGACCTGGAAGCTCTGACTTTTGGCTATGATGTTCCCAGGAATTTCCATTTTGGAGTTTCATTTGGGCTTCTAAGAGAGACAGGCAATTTTCTTTTAAAAATTTCTTGAAATAGGATGCTTATTTTGGTCATGGCATTCCAGTGGCTCAAAGATTCTTAAGTTTTTTTCTCCTTGAACTATTTTCCAGGCCAGCCTCTCAAAGGTGGCTATGAAATACTTTACATTTTCTTCTTCTCCTCCTTCTTTTTTCTTTAGTCTTTTGACTTTATTTTACAGATCCTCATTACTTGGACTATTGGAATAACCTCTTAACAGATTTCCATACCTTTATTTTCTTTCCATCTTTAATTTTCCAAGAATAATCTTTCTTATAAAGAGATTATGTCTTTGCATCATTATGTCTTTTATCCATGGACAAATTTTAATTGATTCAATACTGTCTATCTAAGAAAACTCAAACTCCTTTGCTTGTCATTCAAGGCTCTCTAGAACCTAGTACCACTCTACTTTTTCAGATTTATCTGATATTGCTTTGCTCTAGCCAAATTGAACTGTTTCTGTACTCCCACTGAAAATACTCTGTTTTTCCCTCTCCATGAATTTATTCACACTATTCCTTATACATAGAATATTCTCTTTCTGCCTTTTTGCCTGTTCAATTCCCACTCATCTTTTAAAACTGAACTCATTAAAAAAAAAATAAATGAACTCAAAGGTCACATCTTCCATGAAGTATTTCCTGATCCCTAACAATAATAATAACTTTTCTCTTTCCCCTCCCAGACTTCACATAAAATTTTATTTTGCTCATTCCCTAATGTACTTGTCATCTAAAATTTTATGTTAAAGGATGGCTATACGGCGATAAATTTTTCATTCTTGGCATCTTTCAAAGACCATTTCCTAAGTTGTGAAGACCCCTTGGAAATGTAGGATTTATGTAGGCATTACATTTATGAAAACAGAGATGCTTTAACGGTCTGTCCTTATATTGTAACTAAATATGTCTCTACAACTTCCACCCACTAATCCCAATTTTGCATCCTGAGGCCAAAAATAAAAAGTTTACACATATCTGTGCTATTTATCCCTTGTAAAAGTATAGAACAGTTTCTCTCCACTTTGCCTTAAGATGATATATAAGAATATACGGACTGCTACACCAACAACAATCACAATGTCTTTTTGTCAGAGGACCTAAACTATTTTTCAGCTACGTAGTTATAAACTACTATAACAATTATGCTTAAGTAAAAGGCTTTAATGGCCTTGAAGAAGATAATCAGTATTTATACAGTGCCTGTGTGCCAGGCACTGTACTAAGCACTTTACAAATATCTTATCTGATCCTTACAACAACTCTGGGAAGTAGGTGCTGTTATCATCCTCATTTTTCAGTTGAGGAAACTAAAGCAAATGGATGTTAAGTGGCTTGCCCATGGTCACACAGCTAGTGAAAAGTGTCTAAGGTTGGATCTGAACATAGGTCTTCCTGATTCCAGGTCCAGTACTCTATCCACTATATTGTCTAGCTGCCAACTGAGAAAACAATTTAGATTACAAAAGGAACTATACCATCTGCTGACAAATATACAACCAAGGAGTTTCCTGGAAGTAAGAGTATGGGATGCTCTGTCCAAGTCAAAACTTGTTACTGAGGTTTGATTTCTCTACCCAAACTTTTGTCCAATTCATTGGGTATCTTTAGAGGAAGTAAAGTCCTGAATAAAACTCCCAAAGCCATATAACCCAGAGAGATCACTCCTCTTTTGATAGTGCCTTACAATCAATCAAGCAGCCTTAGGTCTTCAGAAAGTATAAGTAGTAATTTGTGTATGGCTCATTTTGTATAAATTTTAATATCTTTTATATGTTTTATGAGTAAACACACACATACATCATATACTCTCAGAACAAATACATATATATATATATATATACACACATATACATATATATGTATAGATATGTATATGTATGTATACATAAACATAAACAAAAAGAGAATGAAAACAGTATCAGTGTTAGGATCTCACAGGCTCATGCTGGCCTTCCCTGGCTGTCCTTGGCTTCTATTGTTTAATTTAGAATTCAGCAAGACTAAAACACCCCATGGGGTCACATGAAGTGGTATAACATTTGGTGACAGGAAAATGAGATCTATGATCTGCTAATCAATTACAAGTGCAGGGTAAATAAAGAGATGGGGCTGATGGTCGAAAAACTGTGATTTCTCTCAATAAGAAAAATTGCAAATGTTCTCAGGTTACGCATTTTTAAAGATCACCTTGAAATTAACATGCACACTTATGTTATTAAAAATTGGAACACTTTCCCTTCAACTGAAGGAATATCCTAATCATTCAAAATTTAGAGCATGTGGGCTCATTCAATGTTATGAAAAATTGAGACACAAACAAAATTTGCAAACCATATTTCTATGGGTATCCTGAAGGAAGTTATTCACATTCCAAAAAGATTCTTCACTGTATAAAGGACAGCAAGCACTTTTCAGATTGGACTAGATTTATTTTTTGTCTCCTTTAAATCCCAGCTCAAAACATCTAATTTTCCAAGAACACAGCTACTCTACACAGTAAGACCCACCTGCCATGGAGACAAAGGGTAATTATTCTTGTCTTAATTAAGTCACTCTATTTAAGAATCCCAATTGCCCAACACCCAAAGAGCAGAATGTTTTAGTAGTCAGAAATACAAGTACCTGAAAAAGGTCACAAAGAACTGTACCAGGTCCATAAAGTTGCTGTGCTGAGAGAATGCAATCTGCAAAGGGAAAACAAAGTGTATGTTACTGTTCCAGGAAGGATACAAACGGGGTCAGCTCAGCATTGTCTCTTACTCACCTCCAAACTGAAAAAGAAATTCACATCTAAGCTAAAGGAAGGATGTTTTCAGGGGAAAACTGAATTAATGTTTCAAAGTTTTGGTTCTTCATTCTGCTTAGTTGCTAACCCAAATGATTGCTTCCTGTTCCAAGACTACAACACAACCTACTATATGGCTCCCTACTTACCCCTAATATAAAATTCAAACCCCTCAATTTGGTACTTCAGGGTTCTACAACTAACTTTTTCCCTCATCTCAAATTTCTTCTGGCTCTCATATTCAGACCTGCATCCAATGAATCCAACACCTAAATAAAATATATTTAATACTGATTTGTGCCTTTGCACATATCCTATTATTCTCTTTCAGCCGACTTCAACCCTTCAGCTTCCTCCCCATTACCCCAGACCTCCACACTAATAGTCCATGTTCTCCTAGTTTCTTGAAATGCCAGGTCAAACTCTTCCTCTTTTAGGTAGCCTCCTTTGATAACCATCTCTGACTCTAGGCATTCCTGTAACCTAGAGACTTAAATAAGCAGTTACTGTCAACAGATTCAGTTTCTTGAAATGGAGATATGAGAAATCATTCAGTTTTGTAAAATGGCAAGTAATTGTTCATATTTACATATTATGAAAGCTATGCAAGAAACAAAAACACAACTAACAGCTACTTTCCCTCCCTGGTCTGCTGTGATGAAAGTGCTTTGTGCTAGAGAATGGAAGTTAATGGACTAACTGTAAAAATATGTTTTTAAAAATTTTTAAAAATATGTAAAGTGACATTCATTCAACATTTATTGAGCACCTACTATATGTATGTCAGTCACTATGACAGCATTTTTAAGAGGCTATGCGTGGAAAGAACATGGGATTGGAAGGAAGTCAGTAAACTTACATTCTAGTTTTGGCTCAGTCACTAAGTGCGTGTTCTTGGATGAGTTCCCTGACCTCAGTGGCCTTACCAGTAAAATAAAGGTGGTAGACTAAATCAAACGTTCCTAACCTGGGGTCTGGAAACATGGTTTGTTTTTTAAACAGTATTTTGTTAACTGTATTTCAATATAATTGATTTCCACTAATCGTCTGTATTTTATTTCAAGCATTTAAACACATAGTTCTGAAAAGGGGTCCATTGGCTCTACCAGTCTTCCAATGGACGGTCCATGACACAAAATAGGTTAAGAGTAGATGATCTAAAAAGTCCTCATTGGTTCTAACACTCTAGGCTTCTATGAGTCTTGTGTTGTATTCAACTCTATCCTAAAACGGAAACCATGAGTTTACAGCTCTCAGCTGGTACCCAGAACAGTCCATTCTGTGGCCATTAACTTTTTTGTTGTCTTAGACCTTGGAATGAATCTAAATCAAGGGCCATAGGACGTCATGAAGACGCATACTCCATATACATGGAAGATGAGGCAGTGCCTAAGTAGGACTGATGCTTTTTTTAAAGCTCATTTTTTAAAGCTCATACATTAAAACACACATTCTTCATAATAAAAACCTGGGACTTCATGTAATTATATTCATCAAAAAGCCAGAATTGTTTCTAAAAGGCAGAATAACATGAACTCTACCCCTAGCTCTACCTATTAACTATAAGATCTTGGACAAATTACTTCCACAGTGGTACAGTAGAACATAGTGATACAGTATAATAATGATATAGAAAAATAAGTACTGGATTTTGAATCAGAGAATTTAGTTTCAGATCTTAGCTTTACTCTTACTACCCATGTAAACTTCAACAGGTTACTTCCTTTTGGACTTAAGTTTCAGTTTGTGTATGATGAGGTTGTTTTAAGATAATCCCTAAGAATTCTTTCCATTATGACATTCTTTGTTCTAGATCAGCAAGATAGCTTGCATATAGTATATGATGTCACTGAATCATGCTGTGGAAAGCGAAGGACGAGAGATGGCCTAGCCAAACCCCTATCATCCAAGATGCAAAAATAAAGACCCAGAGATGGAGAAGTGATTTGTTTAAGGTTACAAGGTAAGCTTCTTGGCAAAGTTGTTTCTACAACCAAGATTCCTGAATGAGACCAGAGTTTTTCCCATTACATGACATCCTCAAAATTCTATTGACGTGTTTCAATCAACCCCAAAGGACAAAGGTGCTGTTGACAAAGAGGGCCAAACAAGGGGTACTTACAGGCCATTTGTTTGGTTTTTTTAAAATTACTTTTTTTAAAAATTTATCAACAATCACTTCCATATGCTTTTGAGTTTAAAATTTTTCTCCCCCTTCCTCCCCACCACCCTCCTATTAAACATGTTTTCACATTAGTGAAGTTGGAAGTAAAAACTAAAACCAACAGGAGGAACCATTCGAAGGAGGAAATAAAACTCAACAGAAGAGAAAAAAAAATGATAGCAATTCAACTTCCATAGTTCTTTCTTTGGATGTGGATAGCATTTTCCATCACGAGGTCTCTGGGGATGCCTTAGATCCTTGTATTGATGAGAAGGGTTCAGTTTAACAGTATTAGTCATCGCATAATGTGGCTGTTACTGTGTACAAAGTCCTCTTGGTTCTGCTCACTTCACTCAGCATCAGACCATACAGGTTTTTCCAAGTTTTTCTGAAGTCAGCCTGTTCATCATTTCTTATAGCACAATAGTATTCCATTACATTCATATACCACAGCTTGCTCAGCCATTCCCCAATGGATGGGCATCCTCTCAATTTCCAATTCTTTGCTACCACAAAAAGAGCTGCTATGGATATTTTGGCACATGTGTACAATTTCACACACACACATACATATACACACTCTCTCACCATCAGAATAAACCAGCCAAAATAAAGACAAAAACAATGAGCATCTTCCTGAACCAGAGCCTCTCTTGTAAAGTGTTGATACATTCTGCCTTGGCCATCTGCTCCCATTTTAACTTTTGTTACTGGTAGTGGCAGAAGTTGTTCCCTGATCTCATTATGCCACCTTCTCCCTTCAAACATTTACATAAGGTGATTCAATTCTAGCTACTCTCTCATCTCTGCTTAAATCCTTCTCTTCCTTAAAGTTCAATTCAGCTGTCATTTTCTCCACGAAACTTTCCCTAATTCCTGAAGCTAAAAGTGATTTAGGGTTAGGTTTGACTCCTTCTAGAAATTTTCTTCTGGCAATTAGGATAAAAGAAACCCATTTTGCCCTTATTACAGCCAACCTTGTGTCATATCTATTTGTGGGAATATTATATGCCCATACTTGATTGTAAACTTCTTAAGACTGTAATTTTTTGCAACTTTGTGTGCTTGCCACAGTGCCCTACATGTTTTTAATAAGTAGTTAAGCTTTTAATAAGTAGTTATTGAATTAAACTGAATAGTCTAGGTGAGAGATAATGAAGGTAGCAGCAATGGGAATAGAAAAGAGAGTGATGGAAGAGAGACTGGACAGAAAATGAATGATCAGAACCTGGCAGTTGATTCACTGTAGAGGGTGAGGGAGAGGGAAGAATGAATGATAACTCCCAGTATGGATAACTGGGAAGAATGGGAGTGGTGTCATGAAAATAGTAAGTGAATGAGGCATAAGGCTAGGGTTGTTGTTGTTTTTTTCCTATTTCCATATTAGTCATGTTGTGAAAGAAGAAACAGCTTGCAAAAAAAAATTACAATTTGCAAAAGGAAAAAAACATGAAAAAAACAAAGTGAAAGTAGTATGCTTCGATCTGCATTAAGACTCCATCAGTTCTTTTTTCTGGATGTGGATAGCATTTTCCATTATGAGTCTTTTGGAACTGTCTTGGATCATTGTATTGCTGAGAAAAGCTAAGTCAATCATAGCTGATCATCACACAATGATGCTGTTACTGTGTACAATGTTCTCCTAGTTCTGCTCACTTCACTTTGCATCAGTTCATATAAGTTCTTCCAGGTTTTTCTGAAATCTGTTTGCTCACCATTTTTATAGCACATATATTCATGTACCACAATTTATTCAGCCATTCCCCAAATGACGGGCATCCCCTCAATTTCCAATTCTTTGCCACCATAAAAAGAACTGCTACAAATATTTTTGTACATGTAGGTCCTTTTCCCTTTTTTATGATCTCTTTGGGACACAGACCTAGTAGTAGTATTGCTGGATGAAAGGATATGCATAGTTTGATTGTCTTTTGGGCACAGTTCCAAATTATTCTCTAGAATGACTGGACCAGTTCACAACTCTACCAACAGTACATCAGTGTTCCAATTTTCCCATATCTTCTCCAACATTTATCATTTTCTTTCCTGTCATATTAGTCAATCTGATAGGTGTGAGGTGGTACCTGGAGTTGTTTTAATTTGCATTTCTCTAACTAACAGTGATTTAGAGCATTTTTTCACATTACTATAAAAAGGACAGGTATGGGGGAAAAGATTAGGAGTTTGGTTTTGGACATCTTTCCCCTTCTTCCTCAACACTTTTCTCATGGGTGACCTCACCCCCTTTACATGTTTTCTAGCACCATATAATACTTCAAATTCTGATGTTTTTGTTGTGGCACTAGGAGTTCATGTGTGTGGGAGGGATCTGATAATATTGTATTTCTTAGGTCACTTTGTCTTTTTCCCTTTGAAAAAACAGCAACAGATTAAATAATTAATGATATAGAATTCCAAAAGGAACATTAATCATATAACTACCAGGAAATGTAAAAAGCCAATAACACTGGGTCTTACAGCACAGCAAACAGATATCCAACTATTACACTCAAATTATATGTAGTGGAAACAAAAAGGTGAAAGATAATTAGAAGCAGGATATAATACAAAGCAGCAAAAATCATTAGCCTTTCTGTAAAATTCTTTAAAAAATCTGCCAGAGAAGACAGAAAAAGAAACTCCACTCAGAATAACTACAAAATGCACAAAAAATCTGGGAGTCAAATTATAAAGACACACTCAGGATTTATATAAAATAAAACTTTTTAACAAAA